TTAAAATATAGTCAGGTTTTTATTGGTTGCTATGGGCACAGTCATAACTGCAAGGTGTCAACAAATATCTGGCGAAACATATTACAGTTCATGTTGAAGCCCTTCCCAACTTGTGTACAGTAATAACATACTTAATTTGTTAGGGTCTCTTACCTTGAATTGTCTTTGTACTTTGTCTCGTTCATTCTCAAAAGTAGCAGCTCTTTGTAATGCCTGGTACTCTGCATCAAGAGCCATATCTCTCTCATAGCGTAGCTTGGCACATGTTTTCTGTAATGCCTAGATGAAAATACCATATTATGTAAGTTGGTTAGTCTTGGCTGCAATTGTATTTTCACTATATATATATATATTCTTGTGTTTGTATTAATAAGTATGACTCATGAGTGCTCAGTATAGTAAAACAATGTACACACAGTAATCCAACATGTTCAATATCACATTTTTGTCTGTATGTTGACAAGCAAACAATGCTACTCTGGTGGCATTTTTATCTTTTCTTAATAAAAAGTGGTTGCCAGTTGGTTAAGTTTCATCAAAATTAAAAAAATACCTCAAAAGTTAATGCTACCAATTATGTTTATATATACTAAATTGAAACAAAATCTGCAAAAGTGTATCTGAAAAACAGGTAGAATAAAAATGGCCTCCAGTCGGCTATTTTGAATTAGACTGCCAAACAAATTGATGTGCATCAGTAACCCAGTATGTGAGATGTTTCCAGTTTGATAAATATCAGTCTAGGGGTGGCTGAGAAATAATTGACGACTGTGACACAATTGATTGATCAAATTTGGTGATTTTTCAAAAATTTCAAGTTACAAGCAATATAAGTTTTTGTTGAACATTCACATTTCACCATAGATTTTTTGTTTTGTTTAATGTTAACTGTTAATTTAAGTTTGAGTTACTAAATTTGAACTTTAAACAAAATCTATGTTGCCCATAACTTTTAATTTTGCCACTACTATGACTTTCCATTCATTTCATTATGGGCAAAGCAAAAATCAAAGAAATTGCTGAAAAAAGGGGGAAAAAATTATGTTCCTAGCATGGGTTTTTATCTCCCTATCTTCCACTTTTTAACCACTACACTATGAAATTTATTAATAGAAAATATATGTATAGGGTTGATCAACTGAATATTATGGGAGTTATCACGCCCACAAAAAAGGTTAAGTGCCCACAAGAAAAGTTTACAATGACAACACTGGGCGATGAGATATTTTTCCACTGCTATGACTTTCACTTCAAAGCCAAGCAAAAAATTATTACAGTACCAACCTGAAGTTCTGCTCGAAGGCGCCGGTTTTCACTCTCCAGCTTCTGTTGTTTTTTCTGTAGCTCAGAAGTTTCATTCTGATTACTAATCTTGTACATTTCAAACTCCTTCCTAATCTTCTCTACTTCTGTATTCTCCAGATCCACTGAAAGAGCAGATCGAAGACTCGATCCCTTATTACGGCGTATAAATGAGGGTCCATTTCGTATTGACCCTCTCAACGTTCTACGTGGTTTGACCTCAATTGGGATGCGTTTAATGACACCATTATCACTAATGAGATCACCATCTTCCTCTTGCATAAAAGAACTTCCAGTTCCCATAGTAACTACTGATGTATGTGTTTACTAAAGTAAACATTTGTTAACTGGTCTTTTGCTTGATTCATTTTTTATTTCATTGACCTGTAATTAGATACACATGGTGTTAGCAGGTTCAAAATCAAGTATCATGAATGGGAGCACAGGATGGAAAAACGAGCACAGGATGGAGACAATGCAGATTGGGTCAGTTTGTGACTGCGATTTATAGTGGGAACACATTTTAATATCCTATTAAGTTTTTTATAACAGGTTATCAGAGATGAACAAACTGTTTCAATAGTTCCGCGGCAAGGATCTGAAAATAAGACAGTATTAGACATGGTTCCAACAAAGATGTATACTGTAAAATACTTTATTTTAGCTGGAATTTATTTTCACTGAAAAAAAATTTGGGGTGTTTTATGTGGAATTTAATTTCACTGGTTTTTGACAAATTGAATGTAAAATATAGGAAAAAAGGTATATTCGCTGGATTTTATTTTCACTGAATCATTCCTCCAGCGAAAACAGTGAATATTAATTCCAAGCGAAAATAATGCAGATTGGGTCAGTAAATAAAGTATTTTACAGTAACTTAGACAGTATTGATAATATATGAGAAAAACGAACTGTCCCAATATTTTTCAGACATAGGTGGTTAACTTAGACCATGGAGGTAGAAAATAGAAGGAGTGAGGACGCTATTGTTTCCGCTGGCTTCATGATGCTTTCGATTTGTTTACTCAGTACAAATTGTAATTAGTTTGCAAACACGCTGTACAATGTCACAGTTTTTCGGCTTACGTGTTTCGGCTGTATTCGGAAGCTTCACGAAGATTCTCAACGCACTGCGAATGCCCAAACAGATAACAATAATACAAAATGCAGCGAAATACGTACGCTGAGTGTACTCAACGCGCGAAATCTATTACAACAAAAGGCACGATTTTCGACATCTGCACAGTTCTGCACACCAATGAAAAATGACTCGTCAAAACATCTTGTTATAATCTTATCATGTATCTTTAAATTTCACTGTGGAAATTTGCGGGATTTTTTCAATCAATGTCCAAAGTTTGACGACTATTGCGATGAAAAATATCAGAAAAGAAGTAATCACACATCATGGTAGCGTCCATATGCAGAATGTCCAGTATCTACAAGTGTGAAATGACCTTTGTGATCCGATAAAGGTCATTGCACATGCACAATTCTTTTATTTATGGTTTGCGCATTAAATTTTATAGACGATGTTTAAACGTAATTTATTTTTTTCTGTTCAATTCTCGTTTTCTTGTGTAAATAAGCGGCTATTATCATTCAGATAAAATGACTTCTAAACAAAACAATAAGTGGCTTAACCAGACCGAAGACAAAGGATGTTTATAAGATTAACATGGGCTTAAATAGCGTCCTCACTCCTTCTCATTTCTACCTCCATGCTTAGACAGTATTAGACGATAATATCGACAATATTTGAGGAAAATATATTGAACTAATATTCTTCAACCTGGTATTTTTTATAGATTTTATTTTTCATTCTTTTCGTCTGTTTTTTCGGGTTTAAAAAATGTGAGCTGGCTGGAGCCTTCATCCCTTGGATATTTCTTACACTAGATACCAGCCGATACCCCCCCCCCAGTACAGTTGATTATAGTTCGTGGGCTCCCTGTGATCACACAATAATTATTATAATTATATGGTAATGTAATGGATTTGCGTGAAATATTGTTAAAATAGGAAATATTTACCAATTCGAACACCCATATCAAATTAGTAGTATTCAATATGCAAGTTTCCAACGGTTGAATGCAAAGTCATAACAACCACCGCTAAAATCTTCATTGGGATGATATTGATGGTGAAATGTTTTCATGATCAGTTTATTTTGACGCCCGCTCTGTCAGTTCGTAAAAACAACATCAGTTAAAAATGTAAGAAAATTGTATCGTAAAAGCTAAGAACACTTACCCATGCTGTTCAGTTGTGTATAAATACATTATAACTCAGCAT